TTGGAAACCCTAATTTCGAGTCAGGGAATTTGTTTAATTTCCCCGAATTGTTTTTCTCTCACAATACAACGCGCAACATAACTTGAGAAATTTAAACTCGTTTTTGCAGTAAGGCAATTTTCTCTACACATGGAATTTTCATAATCAGGGAAAATTTCAAAATTTCGACTGACGGCATTCATGAAACGACAGAAAATACAATTTACCTTTATATTAAAATGACTGACAAAACTGTCACTGTCATGTATCTATGATGTATCCTCTGGATGGACAGACTATACATCAAAATTACCCATAAAATACATACATAACATCTTTTAACATTTTCATACTATGTTATATTTTATTTAACAAAGGCGTAACATATTGGTAACGTAACATATACCATTGACAGTTTGTATCAAGCTATGGAATAGAGTGTTATGGCATAATATTCGGTGGTTATGGTGCCATCTAGTATGAATATTCATAGAAGATGACAACTGAATAAGGATTTTGTAAAAGTATGCAGTAAAATATTTCTTCTGAAGAAAATCTAGTTTTGTCCGATATTACTCTGTTATTAACTCAATGCGCTTCTTCAAACTCATTTGCAGCTTAAGTAATAAAACTGAAAAGACCTAGCTCCGTTTATTTTATTTCTTGTAAACAATTAAACTATTGTGTTGTCAGATGTATTACACACGAACATAAATATAATGTTGGATATTGTTTCAGCTTGGCAACAAAGATATTTTTTGCGGTGCTTTGAACCTTTTTTAAACTAATAATGTATATGTTTCTATATGGTTTTTGCATTATACCACTTACGTAGTTAGATTATTTTGAATTAGTAAGTTTTAAAAAATATGTGATTAAATTTTTGGAGGTCAAAAAGGGATGTTTTCAAAAAGGTACAGCTTGGGTTCTATTTGATATTTATGCGAGGTTGTCTTTTATATTTTGCATATAGAAACATGCTATGCGCCTGTCAACATATATCAAATGTCAAAATTAACAATAAAATTGAAAAGAATGTCTTGCCAAGTTGGTTTCTGCTTTCGGCAGTGAAGCATCACATCAATCGAGAATTTCTCCTTACTCGTTGGTATGAAGAATTTAAATGTGGACTAATTATTCTTAGTGACGACTCAAGAACAGGTCTACCAAGAAACAGTCACCCAGGAAAGCGTCGATGCTGCACGTAAGCTGATCCCAGAAGATTGACTATGTGACGTATCGTGAAATTAAAGCTTCATTGAGGATTTCAAGACTTCGTAAAATTTACATGAAGAATTTTCTGTAAAAAATAGTTTCTCGTTGGATACCTCATTTGTTGACGGAAGAACAAAAAACAAATAGAGTCAAGTGGTGTCAAAAAACTTGTTTGGCAGTTTGATTTCGGAAAAGGCCAATATCGACTCTGAAATTCAGCACAGGATTAGCAGCGCCTCAAGAGCATTCTGGAAATTAAAAGATAGCGTTTTCTACAATCATGACTTGAGTACAAAAACGAAACTTGCAGTGTACCGAGACAATTAGACAACTCTTAAGAATCCGGTGGTTCCATCATATCTCAAACGTATCGGTCCTTGAAAAAGCTAACTGCGAGAGTATTGAGGTCATGGTTACAAACTCCCGCTTAAGATGGGCTGGTCACGTATGCAGAATGCAAGAATTTACGGTGAGCTTGTAGACGGTAAGAGGAGGCCGGGTGCACTACTCAAACTTTCCACGAAAACTTAAAGGGGATTAACATACAGAATGATTGGGAAGAGGCAGCTCACAATAGAACTCAATGGAGAAGAATTATAAACTCAGTTAACAGCGACAACCAAAAAGCAAAGAGGCAACAAAGCAATGAGTTTTTTGAATGTCCGGAGTGCGGTAGGCAGATAACATCACGTATCGGGCTTTTCAGTCACAGAAAAGCTCATGAAAGAAAATGCCTTGCGTGACCATCTTTTGATGCGTGTCAAATACTCGTCAGCTAGTAATGGCAGTATATATGTATGTAGTATGTATGTATGTATGTATGTCAAAAAACTACACCGGTTTAACGCAGGAAACTCAAAAATATATACAGGGTGCTACAAATTCGAGGTACGAGCATTGGTATCTCGGAAACCGTAAGAGATACGAGGATGGTTAAATTGACTCAGACTGGAAATTATTTTAAATAATAATTTAATAGTTTTGTTATTGTTAAGGTACCTAAAACAAGAAAAAGTATCAAGTGTGGCATATCATTGTACTCAGGAGACCGAGTTCTTTCAAAACATCATATAAAAAATGCAGGTCCGTATTTAAAAAAATTAAGTTGGCCTCTGTATCTCACAAATTATCAGCTAATTTGAAAATATAAAAATACTATCAGATAGCCCTAATAAAGTAGCTATGAGAATGTGCAATTAGTTCTTTGATTTTCTAAAAAGTAACGCCAAGAAAAAATAAAATTGATATTCAGAAAAATCCGTTTTTGCCAAAAAACTCAGCAATCCTTGAAATTTTTAAAACGTTTTTGATGGCATCTTGGTGAACATCCTGAAGCGCAATTTTGCCCCAATTTAACCATCTTCGTATTTTGCCCCAATTTAACCATCTTCGAATTTAACCATCTTCGTTGCCCCAATTTAACCATCTTCGAATTTAACCATCTTCGTCTTCGTATCTCTTACGGTTTCCGAGATACCAGTGCTCGTACCTCGAATTTGTTGCATCCTGTATACAGTATTACCAGTGGTGATGAATCTTGGATTTAGTCTTATGATTCTTATGAACCTAGAAATAATTGTCAATCGGTTGTTCCGAGATGAACCAAAACCGACGAAAGTTATCTGTCCTCGAAGTGTATTCAAAAAAATGGTGGCGACATTTGTCTCAAAAGCGATTCATGTAGCAATAATTTCTCTGCAAGCTGTTACTGCTGATTGGTATGTCAAAAATGGTATGTCATATCTATGTGTTTGTCGGAAATACTTTCTCAGTTTCGAAATTTTGATATTATTACAAATTTTGTTGCAAATATTATTCCTAATCTTAAATTGAAAACCGCGTTTCGCTAGCTACTGTAATTTTGGAGTTACGATTTTTTTAAATTTTTAACTCCCTCCCATGCCTCCTTACCAACCCCCCACCACAACCAAAAACTAATAACCTGATTCTCGGGTGCCACAGTATTTTTGTGCCAAATTTGGTTAAAATCGATTTAGTGGTTTTTGAGTTATCGTGTTACAGACGGTCAGACAGACAGACACCATGAAAATATTTTGTATTTAGGTCATTTATGACTTTATGACCCAACTCATTTTGAGTGAAATTAAAAAAAAAATTTTTTCGATCTTAATAGCCTACCATACCTATTGGTATGGTCGGCTAAAAATTATTATAGTCAAGTGGTATTACGGATTTTTCTAATTTTAATTTAATTCTGTTTCTCAATAGTCTACAGCAAATGTTTTTGTTGTAAAATTCATTAATTAAATATCAGCTATCAAAAACTATCTGTGTCGATTCTAGATTTTTGTTCTAAAACCGGTACCACGATTTTGGAAGACGATGTCCAAAAAATTCAATTTGCCTGTGAAATAAAATGACAGACCACTGTCACTGTCAAGTGTCCTCGCGTTGGACAGACTATAGTTTACTAGTTATGTACCATTGCGATAAAAAAAAAGTAGTACAAGAATTAGTAGTCCCAGATAGAACTCCTGGTCTATAAGGATATTTGAATTATATTGAATTTTGGATTTAGCCAACAACACTGTTTTTTTGTTTATCCCTAATGCATCTGCAATGTCCCTTATGGGAATCCCATCCGTGAATCGCGTAAATATAATAGATTTTTGCTCTGAAGTTAAAGGCATTTTTTAAAAATTACCTGACACTGACACAAGAATATAGACCAGCAGATTAAATCATATTTTGTTGTACTACTTTTTTTTCGCAATGGTACTTAATTAATTCCTTAATTATATGGTTAGTATTGAACAATGCTAATATCGATTTTAATTTGATTTAAAAAGAGATATTAATTATATTATATGGAAAGGCAAAAATGTTCGCTTGTATTGCAAAATGTCTCATAAAAAACTACATAAAGAGTAAAAATGGTTTCTAATAGCCCTCATATTTACAGTAAACTTTTCAATGATGAGGATAGTTACATACCCACTGAATTAATTTGTATATTTCTAAAAAAACTTTTTTCTACAAACGTCAGTAAAAATGTAATTTTCAACGCATGCTGTCAGTGCATGAATGCCTAAAATGTGGCATTATGTCACTGATGGTAAAAGTCATTTACTTTTAGCACTGGTGCTAAACCACATTTTTATTGACAATCTACCTACAATTTTACGAAAAATTTGTAATAATAAATTAATAATTCCAAATGTACGCAGTATGTAGTATATGTCCCCGAATTGTTCTTTACAAGCGGGAAAACTTTTTTATTATTGACATTTTGAGAGAATTGCATTCTTTATAAAAAGTTTTGTTTGTTCTAAAATGATTAATCCCGTTTATACTTTTCCAAATTTCCATACCGTTTGAGGGAAAATTAAAGAAAACATGAAAATATGGTTGAATTTTTTCCTAAAAATCAGAAGGCGTTTCTATGATATCACATTTTCACTTCAAACTTATCACCCTTTCCGTAACATTGAACTAAATAAATTTTGTGCTTCTACCTATAACATTTTAAAACAGCAAGAAATATAAGGTTAATTAAAATTCTGCAATAACAGTCTATCAAAGAAGAAAAACGAAACTATATTATTACAGAAACGGGTTTTGATTTTTAGGACTTTCAAAGAAAAAAAAATCAACTTTATTTTCATGTTTTTCTAATTTTCTCTAAAATGTTAAGCAAATTTGGAAAAGTATAAACGGTATTAACCATTTTAGAACAAGCAACAATTTTTTTTATTAAGAATACATTTTTCTCAAAATGTCAATTATAAAAAAGTTTTTCCTCTTGTAAAGACAATCCGGAAGCAAATTATTTTTATAGCGCTTACCTTTTAAAGGATTAACTGTATTAGCTAATAAACCCATTATTTTCGAACACCAACGTTATACTACATAATTTTTTATCCTTTTAACACGACAGTGACGTTAGACCAGCGTTAGACACTAAACTCATTGATTCTGTATACGATAAAGTCCTATTGTGTAAACTACACATCTTGTGCTACTTATACCTATTTGTTTGCGCCGATAAGAGATAATATTGGATTACCTATAGCGCAATATTTTTAACACTCGCATGACATGAAATAAAAATTCGCTTGTATGAATAGTATGTGTATGTGCGTTATAATGTGCCGCAGTAAACTGGTACATTTTTAGTTAAATCTTTGTCGGGTAGCTTTCACTACATTAATTACTATCAGACCGATAAATGTTTTGTAACGCGAACCCGGCGACCGACGCAAACCCGGCGATGTTGTGACTGACGTTATGTGACCAGACCACAAGTTGGCAACGGTTCAAATTGCCAGTAGCCAGAAGACAGAAAAAAGATAAAAGAAAGATAATTATAAATTCCAAAAAAAACGGGTAATTACTAATGAATTCAGAGTAAATTCGCTATGAAATTATGCTAGATACCCAAATTAAATAGAACCGTCAAATAAATCAAACCAATGGAAACAAATAGGTAGTTGATAGAAACTACAGGGTCGCTGATATACAGGGTGTCCCAGGCTGAGCGTGCATTAGAAGTTTCTAGAGAACCACAATATCTAGACCGGAGATTTTTTGCACATCATTTTTTTACAATGAGATCTGTCGATTAAAAATATTTTCAATATGGCGGCACTTTCGGAAATACCGGAAGTTGACGACAACTTTCTTATTTTAAATAGATGCCCCCATTTTCTATTACATACTTAAATTCTCTGTAAAATTTTATGAATTTTGATATCAAACACCTAACATTAACCGTTTTTGAGAAAAAAAATATTTAAAATATTTGGACGAAAAAAACTGCCTGTCAAAAATATGTAGTCTAAACGTCAAATTTAGTGATTACCACAGCCACTGCGCCATAAAGAGAAGACATGTGGCTATCTATTTCAAAAATTAAAATGTTTGAATGTCTTATAATAATGGCTGCAGCTGTCATGGTATTGAGAGATTAATAAAGTATCATAAATCATTTTTTTCAAACGGCAACCCACTTTTTTTTATTTCACTAGTGAAAAGGCTTTTCAATTCGTTACTTTTTGACTATACATGTTCCTATACCTAAAATAAATCATTTTTAAGTTATTTAAAGTTTTTTTTTTTCATTTTTTCTTGTTTTTTACAAGTAGCCTATGACTTTAAACGTCAAGTGATGTAAAACAATAGATCTGGCCATGTCGTATTGTGACACTTTGTTCAAAAAGCAGTATGTTATCGATCATCATTTGCAAGCCAACTTTGCGTTGTTTTTTTTCAGAGTTGATACAGTACATTATTAATATAATTAATAATATCAATTATTAGATATCACTAAAGAGCGAAAATACGAGATATATTTTTATAAATACACTTTTTAAACTTTTAAGGCAACAGTATTTACAATATAGGAAATTCAAATAATTTGTTTTCTGACAGATGGAAATAGATTGTCGTGACTTTTTGACACTTAATGTCAAAGGAAGCTAGATAAAATCAAGAAAAATATACGTTTTCAAACTAAATCTTAAGTAACTTAAAAACGATTTATTTTTGGTATACGAACATGTATAGTTAAAAAGTAACGAATTGTAAAATCTTTTCACTAGTGAAATAAAAAAAAGTAGGTTACCATTTGAAAAAAATGATTTATGATAACTTTTTAATCACTCAATTCCATGACAGCTACCGCCATTATCATATGACATTTGAATAATTTAATTTTTGAAATAGATAGCTACATGTCTTTTCTTTATGTCACAGTAGCTGTTGCAATCACTAAATTTCACTTTTAGGCTATACAAATTTTTTTGACAGGTAGTTTTTTTCGTCCAAAAATTTTAAATATTTATTTTTTTCAAAAACGGTTAATGTTAGGTATAGAGTGTTTAACACCAATATTCATAAAATTTTACAGAGAATTTATGTATGGTATAAAAAATGGGGGCACCCATTTAAAATAAGAAAGTTGCTGTCAACTTCCGGTATTTCCGGAAGTGCCGCCATATTGAAAATATTTTAAATCGATAAATTTCGTTGTAAAACTATGATGTGCAAAAAATATCCGATCTAGGTATTGTGGTTCTCTAGAAACTTTTAATGCACGCTTAACCTGGGACGCCCTGCATATAGGCACGGTCGATTATTAAGTAAAATAGACAAGGTACCGCAAAAAGTAAAATATAAAAGTTATAAGGTTTTTAAATGATTATTAGCTCGTTTAATAAGTAAATTTAAGTATACAGGGTCTGTCATAAAGTTTTGGTTGGTTAGGTTGTTACTACATCAAAATTATTTTTTTTAAATGCAACCCCCTGTAGATTATTGCATATTTCAATTATTCCTTCAATTTTAAGCAATAATAATTTGAAATGTTAAACGAAAATTTTGTAATTTCCAGACTTAATATAATCTCATTTTATACATCTATAAATACTAACTTGAGAATTAATGTCAAATATTATTAAGTATCAGTTTCTGCAGAATGGCAAATCGAATTGTATTAGTGATATTTTCAAAAGTCAATAACTCGGAAATGCTTGGTTTTAGGTACTTTGTGTATTTCGATTTTTATTTCGAATTGAAGGAGGAATTGAAATATGCAATAATATACAGGGGGTTTTATTTAAAAAAATGAAACTTTGATGTGACACGACTTTATGACCGATCCTGTATACTTAAATTTATTACTCGCCAATAGGTATTTAAAAACCCTATAACTTTTATATTTAACTTTTTGCGGTACCTCGTATATTTTGCCTAATAATCAACCATTCCCATACACATCAGTGACCCTGTATAATTGCATAAACACAAAAAATATGCAGGGTGAGTCTTAAGTAAGTGCAAATATTTTCAGGGCTGGTAGAAAAAGTAAAGTAAAGTAAAGATTTCAGTTAACGTCTCCTTTTTGCTGCCAGGGCTAATCTGGACGGGGCCTACTTTTTTTACGCGGAATCCTAACCGCGGTCCTCGGCCATATCATGGTCAGTGGCCTACCGAATTAGGAAGGCTCTAAATTAACTCTTACTCACGAGATATCTGATCTCATCCGGCCTCGAACCGGCGTGAATAAGCAGTATGTATCAATAGATTTTTCCACTTTTCCATCGGACAACAGCACAATACAGAGTTTCGAACCGGTCACCCGTCCATCCACCAGTATCGCCTTACGTCGCTTAACTTCGGTGTTCTAATGGGAACCGGTGTTTCAACGTAGCTAGGCCGTTGCCCTCAGGGCTTGTAGATCTCAATAAAAGAAACATATTTTCTCTTTACTGTTTTTCATTAATTAAGTCCAAAATAACCGAGTTTATTCAACTATCCAAAAAAATCCTTTATGGGTATTTCGCCACTGCACTGCAAGAAAAATCTACAAAATAAAATAGTTATTTTTTGTAAACACTTCTGGGCGTTAAACCTAAACGGACGCTGCTTGTCAGAAGTTGTGTTTACAGTAATAAAAACTTGCCTAACAAAGAAAAAAGTGCTTAACGTTTCGGAAAGTTTTCTCTTTCCGTCGTCGGAAAAACATCGTCTTTTTAAAACAGATACGTCTACAAGAAATCGTTGACGTTCTGTTAAAATGACATTATATTAAGTTAAACTTCAAAATTAACAATTACTACCTGATAACAATTACTTAATAAGGTAAAACCAAAAATCCCAAACTTTCTGTATGATTATTTTTAAATTTCTTATGTTATGTTTATTTACGTTATGTTCTTAAAAATCAAAGAAGCGATTGCCATACATTACTAACATCTACAGATGCATGAGCAATACATTTTTTTTTATTAGATTGAATTAAAAAAGCCTCTTTTATTTTTCTTTTAGAGGCTATCGCTTCTTTCATTATAATTTTGGCGTTATTAAAATTTATTCTGTGCCCTGTGTCCCAAGAATGCTGACAAATCTTAGATTTGTGAAAATCTCCCTTCCTTAAATAATCTTTATGTTCTTTAATTCTAACATTTAAGGGTCTAGATGTTTCACCAATGTAAAATTTATCGCATTCACAGGGTATTTGGTATATTACAATTTTTGTTTGTTGTTCTGTATTTATTGGTTTAGTATGTGATAAAATGGATCTAAGTGCATTTTGTGTTTTGAAAGATGTTCGTATGTTATATTGTTTTCTTATCCTTCTTATTTTTTCCGAAACGCCTCGTATGTATGGAATTGTAAGTTGTATATATTGTGTATTGTTATCATTGTGTCTATGATTTGGGGTTTGTATTTCTCGTTTAATGTTTTGTCAATAAAATATCGTGGGTAGTCGTTTTTTATTAATGTATTTTTTATGTGGTTTATATCTCTGTTTAGTGAAATGTTGTCTGTACATATTATTTTTGCCCTATCATATAAACTTTTTAAACACCTTTTTTACACTTATACTGTGATTAGATGTGAAATTTAAGTATCTATCTGTGTTTGTGGGTTTTCTGTAAACATCTAAAATTAGTTTATTTTGAAACTTTGACACTAAAACATCAAGAAATGGCAAACGATTACCTCTCTCTACTTCTAAAGTAAATTTTATGGTAGGTTCGCGAGAATTTATATAATCCAAAGAAATGTCTATTTCAGCCATATTACAGGCTTTTTTGAAAAACTATTTATTGTATTATTTTCAAAATCTTCCATAAAAATATTACTTAACAAAGGAGAGAGAGGTGATCCCATAGCCATACCGAAATCTTGTTGAAAAAATCCATTATTTAATTGGAAATAAGTAGTTTTAACACAAAGTGTCAACAATTCCAAAATACTATCTATGTTTAATTTTGTTCTATCTATTAAATGTGTATCTTGTTCTAATCTATCCCTAACTAATTTTAAGTTATTTATCTACCGGCACATAAGTGAAAAGACTAACAACGTCAAAACTAACCATTAAACTGTTAGGTGTTATTATGTATTTTTGAAATTTTTTCTATAAAGTGTGGTGTGTTTTTAATGTATGAATCGGTGTTATTTGCAATCGGATTTAATATGTCTAGTAAAAATTTTGCTAACGGATGGCATGGAGAATTTATACTACTGACTATAGGTCTAAAAGGTATACCCTGTTTGTGTATTTTCGGTAAACCGTATAAATGAGGTGGTTTACTGTAATGGGGTGTTAATAATGTTCGTTGTAAGTCTGTTAATATATATATATATATATGTTTGTATTTGTATAAAGTTCTGTATATTTTTCTTTCAATAGTTGGTGTTGGGTCTTTTGAAAGTTTTGTGTAACTACCGTTATTTATAAGATCTGTAATTTTGTTATTAT